AGCGTATCTGTAAGTATATTCCGTTTGCTCATTTATCTTTTCGTGCTGCTTATTCTGTTATGCTTTTCCATTATTCATGCAGACTCAAGGTATGGGCACTGCGCTGAAGATCCTATTTTCTGGTGATATCTACGAGCGATCTGCGGACAATGTTATTCGCCGGAAGCCAGACTTTCAGCTGCGCCGAACCGATATAGTTTCCCTATTTCACGCTGTTGGCAAGTATGTGCTATTAGTTAGTCTTCTTTGTTTAAGATATGTGCTTAAGTCACACAGTTTATATGCTGCATTTACGTAACCCGCGCGGGTGACCATCCCGAAGTTTGAGTATTAACGAGTTTGCTCGCCGGGCATGTATCCTGGCCAGTCTCTTTGATCTTTCGTGACCGGATGTGCAGACATTCACCAAGCCAAACTAGGTTTTAGTAAAGCTGTTGTTGCTTTTTAGTACAGTGGGGACTCGAGTGACGAGCAGCCTCATATATGAGCATTTCGGGTAACGAACGAACCACTAGCAGAATGTTTGCTCGCTTGAGGATCTTCCGCCCAGTTACGCAGTTGTCAGTGCGTGTGTGTGTGTTCCTGTATCCGCCGTGGAGTCTTGTTCCCAGGGCGTGGGTCCTCGGTTGCCTGCGGCCAATCAGTGAAATGATGCAGTTGGATGGGCTATGTTTCGCAAGACGGGCGTTTCACACGACGAGCTCGGTGCCGGAACAGATTAACTGAGGTTCCACTGTGATAATAGCTCGTTTTAGCAGAAGCAGTTGCAATAGTCACAGCTGCCTACAGTATTTAGCTGCATTAGCGTCAAATGAGAAACACTCAGTGGAAGAAGAATCCGTGTTCAAGACTTGTGCATTAAGGGGCCAAATGCATTCGTTGCTATATGTACACAGGCATTCAGATGGACACGAAGCAGTGGCTCGACCTCAAAAGTAAACTTTTTCCTGTTTAAAATGGACCAAACACCTTTTGATAATATAATGAATGTTTATTGAAACTGAGGGTATTGCTAAATCTGCATACTTCTGAGGAAAATCTTATGCAGATATTCACTAGTTTTTGTATATGTAAGCCTGCTTCTTAGTACAGGATTCGAACTACGCAGTCCTGTCCTAGAAGGCCTTGTGCCATGTCTTAGCTGCGTTTGAAACAAGTATGCACTTAACATAATTGTGCACTGAAAGTAACGTCGCACTTGTAATATGGCTGCACTGTTGACCTGATTCGCATTTTCATCCTGTAGAATCTGTAGTTATCGATCCTAGGAGGGCAGTCCGAACAACAGCGATAGTTCACAAACAACAACAACCAGGCCCCTGACCTTTAAATGGACTTTCATATTTGTTAATTTCTTCCCCCAGACTGTGCAAATCACACGAATGGCCCACATATTGTTAAAAAATACTAAAACCAGATTGTTTTTTGCAGTATCACCCTTGCTTGAAATTCCTTCGCATGAATTCATTATACAGCTTTAAGATTTGCGGGTGGAGGGGGGGTGTGTAGGTTCGCATTATGTTAATCTTTCTGAAACTCCTCAGGAAGGCGTTGAAAACCTACATTTGCATAGGCATTTTTAGGGCTTCTCTGCAGGGCAAATATATACTTCAGTGGTTCGTTTCTCCCCCGCAGTCTTAACGATACCCCTGGAGAGTCGCTCATGTTCATGGGGTTACTGTTCTTATGGCCACCTTGAAAGTACGGAGAAAAGGACATTCCGAAATTGTTTACGCGCATTGTAAAAGGTGAATGGTCGCTGTTGCCTCCTCCCAGGTTTCCAGCATGTATGCTTTTAGGTTTCGGTGATGAACCCTTATGTGCGGACTCCTCTTCCTCCATTCCGACAGAATGTGGGCAAAAGAACCGCGCGTCATACGGGCGGCTTTGCGCTAAATTCCAGGGAAAGTGGCGTTAAGGTTAGGCTTTGGATTCCAGTTAAGATTTGGCTTAGTATTAGGACACTGGTATATTTACCCTGTCCGCCGTTTAGTGCAAGAAGAGTAAGGACGAAAGAGAGAAGAATAAGCTTTATTTTGAATATGCCACTGTGGACTAAGGGGCCAAATTCAATCGTTAGTTTAAGTGTATAAGCCTCCGCATGGAAATGAAACGGTGTCTGGGACAGGGGCGTGTTTACCTCTCCTGGAATTTAACGCAAGGCCACTTGTATTGCGCGCCTGGGGGCCTCTCTATAACAGTGTTCTGCCGTGGGGAAGGAGGTCACATTAGCAATTCCGACCGAATTTTTTTCTAACGGAACTGCGTTTACCGCAAAGATTTATGGCACTCTCAACAGAATACAACCCTCGCCGCTTGCATTTTGCACTTTATAAACAGCATTGCTTCACCTGGTTCTGCTACTGTTTCCTTCTCATGTCTCTGATGATGAATCCCCGACGGATGTCGAACGTCAGGCGAATAAACGTATTGTCCCAGTGATCGAGTCTTCTTCTCAATTGCTTCACCCGTAGCTACTAGACTGGAAAAAGTAGTAGTGGTAGACGCTTTTCAAATATCTCAATCCAGTCTACCACGGAACTTGAGAAAGACCAGATTTCCTCGGGCGCAAAATGGGGTTATTTTGTGTTTTTATTTTGTACAGTCTTTCAGGGGGCATGCCTTTATTTATCCCGAAATCATTATCGGTAACAGAAACGCGAACTACTCAGCGAAATTCTTCTGACTGTTAAGAAACCATGTCTCGTGTTTACGATTTTGTGCAACTAATGGCTCTTAATGTGACTGCTATGGCACTCCCCCTCAGCTGGTATCCGAGCC